ACCTCAGGGTCTGGACCAGCCCCATCCCAAACCGCTTACACCTGGATCCAGGTTCTCAATGTTGACTTTCCTTGGGTCACTAGGCTCAATGCTGTGATGTTCTTTATTCTGTGTTTCTGGTCTTGTTGAAGTTCACCAGGCCCGGGATTCTCCCCTACCAGCTGTTGCCTACAGAGCCAGCACTGAGAGATAGCAGGACCCCATGAGGGAAGATAAGATGCTAGGAATGGAGACTCGGCCCAGGAAGAGTATCTGCTAGAATTGCTCTACGGTGTGAAATTTATGGGAAGGAGAAATATGCACCCGCAAAGATAGAGCCTCGGGCCCTCAACAATGGCCGATTTTTTTCTTGTTCATTTAATATTTAGTTTTCTGTGCTCACTGTACGTTATTGTCACGTAGCCCGGAAGGCTAGGAAGCGGCTCTGACAACATTCTCCTGTTCCCTCAGCAGCGCCTGTTTTGATGGAGGAGCACGGAGAAGAAACTGGTCCTATCTATCGACACTACGCTGGGTTCTGCAGGCAGAACAGGGATGTCTACGCAGCGGGGCTGGGGGAGGCAACGACTACTGGGGAGACGATTACCTTTACTCCGGGTGGTCAGCAGCGCTTTCTCCATGGAAGCTTGGATGTGAAACTTAACAGATCTTTATAAATAACAGGCGTTTGTATTAATACTATAAGAAGTAAAATTTGGGTACAATGCATAAAATAAGACTACCTACTGACAAACACACAGCACAAAAATAGAAACCAAAATGCTGTAATCCCATCGCTTGGGGCTTGGGGGAGGGATCTCTCACTGCCACTGAACTACAACCAGCACAGAAAAACGAATGTGACATTGCTGCTCGGTCATCTCTTTAAAGACATTCTTTTTAAACTGTACGGAACTTCTTCCAAGTTAAGGTGCCAATATATGTCTGGCTTATCTTCTTTAGACCCAGGAATACAATGTATTTGGCAGGAAACAAAGGCATTCAGTACTTATCACACTTAACATTGTTGAGTATCACACTAATAGCATTAGTGTGTGTTATGAGATACTCTTGTTACTCACTTGTTTTTGATTCTGTTTTGGGTTCCAAGATGCTATTTCTGTTTGATCTTTTTCATGGTTCTTTATTTTTACTCTTATTCCTTTGTCCATCAGTGTTGGTGTTGCTAGGAATTTCATACTTTCTCTCCTCTCACACTATACATTGTTTCTAGGTGAATTCACCTATTATTTTGCCTTCAGCTACTCTCTAATAATTCCCAAATTAGTATTTTAGCCCACACCTCTTGCCTAAGAGCCAGACATTTCTATTCAACTGACTGTCGGACAAGTCAGCAGCTTTTTAATTGCCTTCTCTGCTCTTTCCCGTTTTCAATTCATTCTTCACACTTCTGACAGTGATTACCTTGTCGCTGCCCTACTTAAAAGTTTTCAGTGACTCCTCACTGCCTTCAGCATTAAAAAAAAATCTAGAGTCCTTACTATAACGCGCGAGAGCCTTCAAAATCTAGTCCAGTCTCGTCCCTAAAAGTAACAGTGGTTCTCCGAACAAGTCCTCCAACCTCTTACGTTTTGAAACACGTAGCAACATATGGAAAACCCTTCTCAGCCATGCCTGCTATGGGATTAATTCCACCTGTTTCAAAATGAGCTCAGTTGGCAGTTAAGTTCCATTTTTATTGAGAACATATAAAATGCCAGGCACAAGCAGCCTTGGAGTTCCTGCAGTCATGGAGTTAATATTCTCGTGTGTGTGTGTGTGTGTGTGTGAGAGAGAGAGAGAGAGAGAGAGAGAGAGAGAGAGAGAGAGAGAGAGAGAGAGGAGGGAGCAAGGAGGTGAATAAATAAATAGCAAACTTTTAAGTAGTGATAAAGCTTATGACTAAAACAAAACAAGCTGATTTGACAGTAACTAGGAAGGTTTCCTTAACTGCACAGCTCAAGACTTCTCTTTAGGAGGAAGGGACGTTTACCCTGAGACTCCCTCTGGGAAGCTGCTGCTGCCCTTCCTCCAGTGGCTCATGTCTATCAGAGCATTCATCACGCTATTTTTAATTCGGGTTTTTACTTGTGCAGTTCCAGCTCTCTACATACTCGTTTCCCAAAGGGAAGAACTGTCTCTTCCATTGAAATCTCTCCTAACATAAAGCCTGGCACATAGCTGATGCTGAACAAAGATGGTGAAATAAACCAGCTCTCACGTGATGGAGAGAGAAAGGAAGGAGGCCACAGAAAAGTTTGCAGGACCAAACAATTAAAACCAGATGGACAGAGCCGATGACCCCTATGTCCACCCCACATACCCCAAGTTCAAAGGCTGAAAGGAACGGACGACACAGCTCACCAGCCATTGGCTATGACACCTGTATTTGCTCCTCCCCAAGTTCTTCTTATTCCTCGATTCTGGCTATTCCTGGGTTGGTTTTCTCCACATCCATGGGTCTCCTCATCTTCCCCAGACGCTGATTCCTACTTCCCTGCTTTGGTTCCCCCAGAGCCTGACTTTAGTTGGCCTGAACTGGCCTTCTGGCTTTAACCGCAGCTAGTGGAACCTCAGCCTTTTCTTTGGTATTCACGAGCTAGTGTGGGGACTCTTCTTTACCCCTACTCTTACGGCCTCAGCTTCGTTTTCCGGTTTATACAAACTAAGAATGGCTATGAATTACCTGCTCAGTTACATAGTGCCATTACTCTCTTAAACAAATTCTGCCTTAAAATCTTGCTTTCCTAGATCAGTAGTCTGACCGTATAATTTGCCTTCGAAACGGAGACTCTTTTTGAGAAGGAGAAAGAAGATGCTTTGGATAATTGTAGACAGCAGGTGGACGCCAGGATTGGTGGACACCCTCCTCCCAGCGGTTTCCTAAAGAGTCTCAGCGGCCACAGCGACTTCTTTCTGGGCTCCCTGCCATCTGGCCAGGCTGCTCCCTGCACCGGAACTTCCCCTTGGGGTTCAGACCTGACCTTCTGAGTGCTGAAAGAACTTTCCAGGATTGCCAGTCCCTCGGGTAAAGATTCATACGTGGAAACTTCTAGTAAGGGTGTTAACACTTATAGACCTCTTATTATAAGACAGGCATGGCGGCCCTGGCTGGTGTGGCTCAGTGGATTGAGTACCAGCCTGTGAACCAAAGGGTCGCTGGTTCGATTCCCAGTCAGGGCACATGCCTGGGTTGTAGGTCAGGTCCCCAGTGAGGGGCATGCAAGAGGCATCCATACCCTGATGTTTCTCTCCCTCTCTTTCTTCTTCCCTTCCCCTCTCTCTAAAAATAAATAAATAAAACCTTTTAAAAAATGTTTAAAAAGATAGGCATGGTGAAAAGCATTATATATATTTTATTAAATTCTTTTTATAACCTAGGGAAAGTTCTTCCATTTTGGAGCAAAAAGAAGCAGAGGCTGAAAGAGGTTCGTTTACTCAAGGGCGTACATCTGGTACCACCCAGAGCTTGTATTTAATCCCACCCAGATGTGTCCATCTGCAAGTGTTCACGTTCTAAAGTGCTGCAGTAGAATCCCTTGCTGAAGTATCTTTTAAGAGAGAAAATACTGATCACTATAAATAATATATCCATAAACCAATCATAGGCATAAACTATTAACCTGAATTTTAAACGTCTTACCATTCTCTCTTTTTTAAAACCCATTCTTCTGTGTTCTATTTGACAGTATTTTAAATAGGAATATACTTGTTTTCCATAGAGGAAAACTTATGAATTTTAAAATAATTGGGGAAAATGTCATTATCAATTCCCAAAGATAAAAATAATTCTAAATCCCCAAGAGTCATTTTCCATGCTACCACTGTGTCCTTAGACTTCCTTTAATATAATCATAAAACCCACTTGGTTAGTCTGTTTCTTACTTGCCATACCTCTCTTATTAACAACTATCATAAAATTGCTCACATAACCCCTATTTTCTAGACTAATGGGTCCCCAAAGTTTGGGGCTGCACATCTCAACAGTAAAAAATGTGGAGCAGGTGCTCAGTAAATGCATGTTTAGAAATTATATACCTGCTTCAATGTCACTATAGAACACACTCCAAAATGGAAATATAAACAACGAAATAAAAACCTAAGTGCTGATAATTTGCATGTGTCCCAAAGTGTTACCCTGTCTCCTCCCTGACAGCCCACTCTGTAAACACATCATTGAAACCAGAACCTCTCATGTTAATGTGCATGCAAATCACAGATTCTGATTCAGTGCGTGTAGGATGGGCCTGAGAGTCTGTACTTCTAACAAGCTCTCAAACGATGCCAATGTTGTTCAAACACCCAGTAACAAGAATTTAAGAGACAAAGGTTTAGCCAGACTTAGGATGCTATTTTTCCTGGAGTAAAATAAGCAGTTGACCGTAGAGCCAACTTTCCATTACCATGAGCAAAACTGAGAAAAACTACATTTTTACCCATAGAACAATCATTACACATATTAACCAATAACAGAAGAGATCTGAAATGTAAATGGTATTCATGCCTGCACAGACACTCGCTAAACTCAGAGTATCAAGGACAAACTGACTAAACAAAATGGGTTAAAACATATGCATTTTCATCTGCTTCCAACATGCAATAGTAGGCAGGAATCCTGTGATTAACTATCATCAGCTAGCACCGATGTTTATATCAATATTAACAGTCATAGCAATCTGGGTTTTGTTTTTTTTTTTTTTTTGCTTTTTAGTTTCAAATAAATGCAAAGTGAGAGGGGCCAAAACAAAGAATACTATTTTAAAATCGTATCTTAAATTTACACAGCGTTAACAGGTCCCGACAGTGTAAATGTACAGGACTTCACCTGTGTTCAGAAGGTAAGCGGAATCAAGTCAGAAGGGCCGCTGGCTTCAGTACGTCAGTCTCGCAGTTCCCTAACGAGCCCCAGAGTTCCGGCACTGCTGACTGCATGAGAGCGACTCGTGCTGACTCGCCAGCAATGTCCAACGTCAAACACACCCCACGAAAACTAACACCATACCCGATTTCCAGTTATTTACCTTGTCAATCATCTTTCTTGCTTCCACTTCCTCACTGTTGGGATTCTCTAACTCAATGGTATAAGTACCCTTGTCACTTTGGTCATCATCATTATCCTTTTCAGAAGTAGCAGAAGTGGCTTGATTTTTTAACATTTTATCCATCTCCTGGCTCGGTCTGTGCCCGAGACTCCCTGAACTTCTTAACAATGCAGTTTGTAGGAAGGGGATTGACACCGCTGGCTCCTCTGATTTCTGTTTTAACAATTTCCCATGTGGGACACCATGCCCCCCTCTGTGATGCGCAGAGCTAGTCTGTAAAGACAAAGAAACCACTTTGGCGTCTGCTGCTGGAGATCTGGGTTTTTCAAGTTTTGTGTGTGGTGTTGAGTAAGTAGTGTCCTCACATAGGATTCCCGCACTCTGAGAAAAGGAATGTGACCTCCTTTTTCTGGGATTGTCTTCATCAAAGAATGCAACCATAAAAGCAGTTTGACTTACAACAGCTTGGTCTTGATGCTTGTCGGGAGCCTGGCCCTTCGGCAGCTTTTTCTGCTCCGAGTGGTGGCGCCGGAAGTGTTCCTCCAGAGTCGCGCGCTTGCTGCAGCGCCGGTGAGCCCCGGCATTTTCGGAATCGCTCTGTGTACCGTCGTCGTGCTTATTTCCTGGACACGAAAAGGAAACCGCATCATAGAGAAGGAAAAACTCCCACGTAGAAAATGAGAAGCATACACGAACGTGTCATTTGCTCTGCCCCGTCCCCTTTTCAACCCAAAGTCGTATGTCCTCTTCAGCAACAGGCTCTGCGAACTTCCCTCCACTGCAACGCTTACATTCAGATTGTACCGCCCAACAACGAGCTTCTGTATGAAGGACTGAATAGGACTGTCTTTCTCCACATTTTAACTTTATAGTGATGTATCAATGCCTTAAAAGATAAGCAATGCTCTATCATCCATGATATTCTGTATTTACAACATTAATAAACATTAATGCTACTTTCAAAACTTATACCTTATTATTTAAGCAACGAAAAATGTATCTAGCATCACAGAGGAACAGATGGGAAAAGGGTGATCCCACCGAAATGCTTATCATCACACAGGAAAAGAGAATACAAATGCCATAAAAATGCAACCCATCTTACTTTTGATGATACACACTACATCCATAAGTATAGCATCTTTATAGCTTCTGCCTATTAGTATACAACTGTTTACAAATGTCTTCCTAGCTATGACAACTTTTGAATATTTGCCCTTGAGCTCCGAACTCTGGTGGCCTTGAAGAGTTAAAGAAAGCATGCTAAAATGTCTGTCTATAAAATCCTATATAAACCTAAGCATCTATTGGGCAAATGGCATGGTGTTAGATATAACCATAGAAAAATCTACTTGTCTTCACCATAAAGCAAACAGGGTCAACTTAGAATATATTTGAATTTTGAAACATCAGCTTTCTCACAGAGGTTTTTGCTACCCTTCATAGTTGTATTAGGAATTAAATGTAAAACTTTATGAAAATTACCTGATTTTCCCCTGATAGGGAATTCTCATTACATAAATAATAAGAACATTAGAATAGTTAAAGTATTATTATAGCATAAAATCACTGGAAAGTCTAGAGTCACTCTCTGCATGTTTAAAGACCGAGGCATAAGGAGGGCTTGGAGGCCGGCTTCCTCGGGGGAAGCTACGAACGGATGTCGTCAACCAGGTGCATTCCAGAGCCGCCCGGACCAAATCTGATTGTTACATGCTCATGGGCTACAGGCTTAAATTTGAGCACTTGCTAAATAATGTGGCCTCGGAGGTAACCATCAGAATGAAAGACTTGGAGGCTGGGAGGGACAACACACACATGTCCTAGGAAATGGCTGAGTTTGAATGTTTATGGGCGTGTCCTGTAAGTTGAGAGGTTACCAATTGGTGCCAATGACCTATCGCAAGAGGACTAGCTGAGAAGCCTCAGAGGAGAGAAAGGCAAAGCACACACAACAAACTGGGCGACGTGTTGGAAAATGGGCAAGGGGCACAAAGGGAGTTAGGACCAAACTGAGGGGTTTAGGGAGCTCTCTCAGCACAGCGGTGGTGAGGATTATTATAAACCACAGCTACAACAACAAATCTGAAACTGCCTTTAAATTAGCAACTATTCAAAAATGCAATCTGAAAAGAAAAAAACCATTTGTTTACTTAACAGACTCCTTGCCTCAAGTAATGAAGCCAAGAATTAGGGATACCACAGGGAATGCAAAACCAAACAAAACCACTAGTTCAAGTACCAAACTCATTAAAAACATGATCTTTTACAACCTATTTCATTGTTGCATGGGATATATTGAAAAGAAATCCAGTTTGTAAGAGCTGGATATAACTAAACTCCAATATTTCCTGCATAAGAAGCACAAATAACCCATATCACACACACATAACATGGAAACACCATTTTTACAGAATTTAGTTCTCGTACCAATGTATAAACTTTGGCACTTGGTGTCAGGCACTTTCAGTATCTCTCCTTTAAGTTATAGTTTCAAAACTCTATTTTAATTTATAGAGAAGCCATTTTCCTCTTTGGAAAATGTATTATTTCTGCTTGCATTTCTCAATGTCACACAAGGTGAGACATCTGATCAGAAGTGCAATGTCTGTTTTCATGCAACAGAAAAATCCCTGCGAAGCCCGCCTCACCAAGCTTCTTTCTGTTTTGTCTGTGCTTAACCATGCCTAAACAGGCTGCAGTTCTTTAAGTACTTTGGGGGGCAGGTTAACTGTACTACATCAGTAGCTGTGGCCAAAAGAAGCTGCAACTCCCTAAAGGGTAAAAGTATACGGTCTTTATGAATGTTATTTTCCTCACTGTCCCAAAGCACGTGCACTTTACTCTTGCAGGCGCAAAGTTTTTTGTTTCGTCTCGCCTGCTTTCAAGTTTCTGGGAAAACATCAAATGTCATTTGTAAATATATCTGGAGTAATAGAATGGGTATATTTTGGACCAAACTGAGTTATATTCACAAAGACATTTTTTAGGTGGCCAATAAAATGGTAGGAAGGCATATTCAAAAGAAGGGTTCCAAGCAATGGCAACATAAAACATGTCTACTCTAAATGAACTCTGAGCAATGATAGTGATTTGATTGCACAATTTCTGATAAAGCTTTCAAATATACGGGGTCCGGCACAAATAACACCCTTTTTTTGTTACAAAATTTTTTATTACAAAATTATAAGCACGTGATTCTGTAACATAATAGTATCACGTGCAAGCACACCATATGACATCTTAGGAGAAATTCTCAAATTGCTGTCTATCTCATGCGAGACATTCCTGTACCCTACCAACCGCACTCGAGCAGGCTTTACTTCTGCCGGGCCCTCTGTGACCAGTGATGGATAGCTGGAGTGCGAACGTGGGTGTTAATGCTTCTACTTGGAATTAGGCTTGTTCACAAACAGAGAATGGCACAAAATGATGGCTTCAAAAATAACAGCGAATACAGAAAATGGTGTAATGACTGGAAAACAGTTACAAAAAAGGATATTTTTAAATGGTAGCTTTTAGAAAGGATCTTTTAGCTCGCTTTTTATACATTTATTAAGAGTGGTTTGAAAAAGACAATGTTAATTCTAAATTTTCAAGGTTTACCCTACTTTGCATGTTATACTAAAACATCAGTATTATTTATCCAACTCATAAAACTGGTCGGTTTACCAATGGGTAGCTTCTATCTGTAAGCTTTAACCTACACATACGGGTGTAGGTCTCAACTCTGTATTTAATGCTATTTAGCAGAAGGAAAAAGTAACAATCACATGTCAAAGCACATATGCCAGGTAATTGCTTATGATTTTAATCAACTATAGGAAGAGGCCTCAACAAAGATTTAGGTAAAATCTCACCATCTCGCTATCCTGAAATACCTTCAAAGCAAATCAGAAAATAGGTACTTCATTAGTTGATCAGATTTCCAGGGCGTAAAGTATGAATTATGCAAGAGTCAGTCTTGTCATTGATTGTTTATTCTAATCACTGAGTACCTATCACGTAGTCAAGTCTCAGGTGAAGCGTCAGGAATACAAGGTAAGTAATACATACTTCTGGCTACACTGAGCACTGTTCTACATGCTCATTAACTCCTTCTACAGTAACAGAATAACCAGGCTAACATGCAATCATTTCCCTTATAGAGAGCTTGTGAAATCAAATATGGAGTAACACAAAACTATATTCAGCAATTCTAAAGTAAATTTAATTAGCGAAACCAATGGAAAAAAATTGATTAGCTAATACCTCGATGTTCAGATACAAAGATTTTGCAATTTTCGGCTATGTGTTATACTAATAAAGTATACAAAAAAACTATTTCACAAATAAATAATTCAACTGTGATTTTCATAAAGGTCTGACTATTGAAAAAAATGATTCAATTAATTCCCAGTAAGTTACCTCTACACCAAAATTTCTTGTTTCATGAGTAACCACTGATAACAGTTTGAAATACCCTGTCAGCAATGTGGCTATATTATCAAAGAACTTTTGACCTATTATCAAATGGCTTAAAATTTTCAAAATTTAGATAGTGACAGTTTACTGGAAGAATCACAATCGAGAAGAATAACATTGAATATCTTTTCCTTAAGTCAAGAAAATGATGAGAATTGTCTTCTAGGGAACTCTACTGGTGAACTGGATAAAACTGTGATTTCCACAGGAAAAAGAGACATATTTAGTGGCATAAATCTACACTTACAAAACCAATCTGGTTTTGGCAAGAAAACAACGGTTGACTTGTTTTGAATGAGTAAGTTAGACGTGGGCAGTGTGGCGTGCCTTGGAGCTTTAAAAGAAAACATAGACCTTCGAAAAAGCAGTTCTCGGCCACATAATTATTTAGGCAATAGTAGTTTGGCAACTGTGAAGACTGAATTTCCTTTATCATAACATAGGAAGTTCTGAAATGATCAATTCACTTTACCTTTCAACCTTTTCAAGTACACTGGAACGTCACTTTTAATACTCTTGGAGTCTTCTTCTGTCCTCTCCCAGACCATCTGCGGAGGGTTGTTCTGGGCTAGCCAGTCCGCCACTTTGTTTTCCGGCGCCATCATTCCGGTCTGAATCCCCGGCAGGTCTTGAGTTCCAGGAGAAGACTTCTTGGACTTGTGGCGCTGCTCAGAAGTAAATTTTGTCACATGGTCTCTAATAGTTACCTTCCCTGGGGTACTGTCATCAAATTCAATGGTAAAGGAAGCATGCCCTGCACCTGTCGTGTGGGAACTCGTTGTATCTTTTGTTGGGATTTCGTGAATGGTGCTTTCGGTTAATTGTGATGGTTGCTGAAATTCTTTTGTAGGGATTTCAAAGTAACTTGGTTCCCTACAGAAAGGAAAGAGTACTTCTTCATTTGCCGCTGCAGACTGTTCCTCAACTTGCTTGGCATCTAAACTGCACCCTAATGAGAAAAATAAGAGAAAATTCAAAATACTTGGGAGCTTCTAGCATTTGAGGGAGTACAGTAACGGCCACTTGTATTTCAAGAGGACCAGAAGTCAGATCACAGTCTGGATGGAAAACAGTGACAAATGTCGCGAAGAGGAAATCATGTCGGTTGTAAACATGGCACTCGGTTACCAACAGGAGATGCTACATAAGCAGCAGCAGTGGTGAAGGACAGCAAAGCAGTTAAGAGATGGATCTGGAATGGCTAGGGCAATGCTTCTGCCAACTCAGATCTAGAAATCATCGAGGTGCAAAAGAATTGAAATCAAATGTAGATGAAGATGCATGTTCAATGTATACATTATGTATCTCAAGTGACAGAAAAAAATATGAACATCCTTATCAAGTAAGGAGAATGAGCCGAAACATCTGTGAACACAGGCAGAGCTCCCAAGGAGAACACGTGTTCACGCGAGGAAACAGATGTGAAGTCGGTATGTAAGCGATGTGCCAGAAGTAATGGTTCCGCTTACCAGTCTTTACCATTACATTCAAAACCATTACGTTCAAAATGATCAAATAACATACTGATGTGTGACTCTTGCAAGAAGATACATTTTATAAAGAATAAAAGAATGTTTAAGACAAAACATGTGGTTTGTTTGCAGCATTGCAATCCAAGCAGCGGTGTGGGAAAAAAATAAGATAAAAATAGAAATTCAGATGCCAGCCATTAATTACAGAAGAAAACGCATGCATTTCTGTAAAACAGAATATACACAAGTGTCAAAAATCCGTGGAGAAAAGCTGAGCTGTAAATCTCAGATCAACAACAAGAGTGGGCAGAAGAAGCAAACAACTCTGGAACACTATCATTATTCTGCTGTTGCCCCAGGAACGAATATAAAGGTAGAAAAAGAAACACACTTATACATAAAACATGTAAAGGTATAGAAATGAAAATGCTAACTGAAATGGTTTAAGTATGTGTTATTAGAAGTGCAAGTGCAAAATATATATATATACACACACAAGATTAAACTGCCCTGAGTTTCAGGAAGCAAATGACCATATCTATTATCAGAATGGTAAAGAGTGAGTTCAAGTGCAAACTATTTCCTGAAAGCTCAAAGAGCATTCCTTTTAAAAATAAATTCCTGTCAAAACCACTTGCAGGTCATTTGTTAGGAAGAAAGGGCAATATAGGGATGCCAAGTTGTCGCCAAACATTTTCTAATTAAGTGAAGTATCGTCTGTTTGAAACATCTTTGTGCGTGTTAAATCTTGATGGGATTCCTCAGGGGCTGTGACCGACTTCTTGGCGGTGCTCTGAGTGCGAAGCAATCGCAACGCTGTTTGCTCTCAGGTCCCGGGAAAGCGGGAGAGCAACATGCTGTGACCAAATGTGCAGATGGGGTGGGGCGGAGAAGGCATCGGCTTCATTTAAAAAAAAAAAAAAGCAAACAAAATCTACACAGAAGATAAAAATATCTAACAGAAACAATTTTCAATGTAAAAATGATCCTTTTCAAAATCGACTTAGTTTTGTCATCACTGAAAATGAACAAAAATTATATCAAGAAAATGCCCTTATCGGGGCAAGTATTTTACATGCTATTTGAGAGGTTACACAAGAATCTTAATAATTTAAGGTCACATTTTAAAATTTTCTTTATTAGAAAGTTAATGGATCTTTATCTGAATAATAAAATGTCCACTTGGATTTCAGTGTTCACTCTGCAGGCCTGTCACTTAAAATTTCCGGAAGAGTAAAATGCATTAACCACTCCCCCTATAGTAATAAGCTCACTAATAAGTGTTACTTTTCACTTTTTCATACAGTGACTGATTTACTACGTACAATGTGCTATACTTGGTCAATTCCATACAGCTCAGCTGGTTTACAAACCGTACCGCCAGCATATACACTCATGCATTCCCTCGTTCATTCACTGCTTGGCCCATCCTTCAGATAACAGAAAATGCCAGGGACAAGGGGAGGCAGCGTTCTACCTGCACCACCTGGACACCCCTACGTAATGATGTGGAGGAATTACTTAGCAAAAAGCAGAAAAGCTCATCCAGGGACATAGGATTTATCATCCACTTGCCACTCAGCATTCAAAGGAACATTCTCCTCCTTCGTGAATGAAAAGCTCCCACTTAATACTAACGGGCGTTCGACAAGTTTTCACATCATTACAGCAGAGATCAACGAGTGCCCACCACTGTTTTTAAGGTAGTCCTGCTTCAAAATCGCCTTTTCTCCAAGCACCAGGAACCTCGGGCTTGTACAAGTTCATAGATGATTTATCCAGAACCGGCTATCTCACGCTGCAAGCAGCACAAGAGAGTGGGACGGCAGCGTGTTAGCTCTGATGGCTGTAGCCAGGCAGCCTGGTTTAGTGAAGGGAGGGACAAGCTTCAAACCAGACACGTCCTGTCTCCACCAGCCTTTAATTCTCATCGTCCTCACTGTAAAATTCGGAAACAATAATACCTAGCCATAAGATTGCTGTGAATATTTAGTGAGGTGAGTATAAAATGAGATGATGTTAAGTTACCCAGGGCAAAGTCTGGCACAAGTGGGCACACAACGAAATGTTTCTCTTCTGCCCTCCCCCAGATCCCTAACACAGCTGAGAATCGGAGAAACCAAAAACTAAAACCCCAAATTTAACTCTGAAAAAAACAAGAGAGATATGACAACGTCTACTCTTTCCTATTTGTGAACTTTACTAAAAAGGAAGTCCCTCTTGAGAGCCTTTTTACTCCTTACTCCGATGACCTGTGGCAAACGTGGAGGGGTGGAGAAGAGAGGGTCAAGGTCAGACATATCATGCAGGAGTAAGGGTCAAGTTGTAGGGAGAAGTCTATAGCACCCAAGAGCAGAGGCATGGCCTGAAGACATACCATCCCAGAACCACTCCGTGTATGAGGGTGCGTACAGCCCTTCAGACTCTTCCGAGGACATCACTGTAACGTATCACAGTTCAATCCTCATCACTCAACATTCGTAATGATTCCAAGCCGTAAAGCAACAATTTTAATTACATTCAGCCTTCTCTGCTTGAAAAGGCAGTGATATGGGTAATTCATTTAATAGAAATACAGAAAATGGTTCAACTTTGTAAAAAAAATTGTTGGTTATAAAAGTTAAGTTCAGTCATCTGGAAAACTCATTATGGAAAGGAATTATTTCTCTGAAGATAAGAAAAACAGGTTAAGTGTGGGCCTACTACACTTAGGAAATGTAGGCCTACTAGAAAAATTATTAGGGGTCTTCTAAATACAGAGAGAAATAAAACAGCTCTCCTCTCTTAGGACAAAGGCAGGACACACTGGAATTTATGACTCTAACATTCATTCCTTTCAAAATCTATTTTGTTTATGCTAAATTAAACTAAATATACTAATACTTTATTTATGCTAATATTTTATACTAATATTGTATTTATACTAATACTGTTATTAATCTAAATTCTAGATATTTAAAGCTTTTTAATAACGAATTATGTTAGAATTAATTATGTTTACCTAAACTAGAGCAATTGGTGAAAATATCCTTAACTTCTTAAGGTGTTTTATTAATATCCTTTACTTCTCAAAGTAGTTTTTGATTGTGTGACCATTCAGGGAAACTTGTGCTACATATAATCCAGAAACAAATGTTCCCTTCATTCTTCTGTAATAATTAAGTAAAATATTGCACTAATTCAAGACGTCACAGATTCTAAGTATAAAGGCTTATTCTACATGAGACATCCATCCAACCTACTATATTCAAGTACCTAAAGTAACAAAGACTAGTAAACCACTTTTGCTTAAAAGGAGTTACAACGTGTAAATTTTCAAGTTTAGTTTCATGAGCCTAAAAATCAATGTAATAGAGACAAAAATCTCACCGTTGTGTACACCTTTTCGAAATGTATGCACCGCTGAAGGCCTTCCATTGTAACCCAAACAAATGTTTAAACCCAGTTAGCAGGTGGAAGAGCACACCGGCAGCTAAAATGAGGACTAATTTTTCTCAACAGAACTCAAGATATTCACAGAATTTCCAGAGAACCTGATTGCTCTGACGCACACATTTGCTTCCAGGGTTTTTTTTTTTGTTTGTTTGTTTTTGGCTATTTGGTTAAGTCTGTAGAGATTCTGGATGCATGGGGATGCTCAAAGAGGAACATCAAAAATAGCCAGGTAGTAGATACCCGATTATCTTTTCTGCAATGTTCACCTGTCGTGATTTAGTACTGAGATTTTACATTCTAAAAATTTGTTACCAAGAAGTAAATGCCTTTCTGTTTTACCAAAAGAGTATGCTTAGAGAAGAAATAATTAAACTAATTATCTGTATTTCACAATTGGAAAGATTTCTTTTTTATGAAAACACCCTAATTTCAGAATGATGAAATGAACATTTAGTATATATTTTCAAATTAATTCCATTGTTAATGGCTGGCATAATAAAGTATTTCAGGTCAGAAAACTGTTTCCCTCACCCTATATTTAAAAACACTACACATGATAAATCTGAAACAATATCCTTATACCACGATTGGATAGTCTCATCTAAGAAAGCAAGCAAGACTCCTAATGCTCTTAATCAGCTGAATCTGACAGCCAGCTTTAAGCTATTTAACACAAGATGTAAATCACTTAATTCCTTCTTACTCAAAAATAATCCCGAGATTAGGAGACAGTTTCTGTCTTCTGGCAGAAATGATAATGAGAGGCCAGACAAGCTAATGATCATTTAAGATTTAGTTTCATTCACAAACTGGATGCTTCACTTTCAAATTGACTTTATTATGCTGAGATATGATCAAGTTTTCAAGCCAATTTATTTTTGGAGTGTTTGTTTAAATCTTTGTTCTCTGTGAAGTATATCTTTTTTGGAGTGTGTGTGTGTGTGTGTGTGTGTGTGTACAAGCATGTGTAATGGCTGCTGAAAGGTTAATTGCTTGGGGTTAAGAGCTGGACTCTGGAGTCAAGCTGCCCAGGTTCAAATCCCAGGTACACTACTTGCTTGCTGGGTGAGTAAATTCACATCACTGCACCTCAGTTTCCTTATCAATAAAATGAGGAAAATAACCCTACCTTTAGGTACTGCTTTGAGAATCAAATGACTAAACATATGTAAAGGACTTAGAAGGGTGACTGGATTAGCAAGGACCACTGAAGTGTTAGCGATTGTTAATCGATCCCAGTTCTGTCTCCAGGAGAAAAGTCACACATACACTTCATTCGAAAGTTGTTTTGTGTGTGACGGGGGAGGAGTGGATTTTCAATGCCAAGATAAAAATCAGTATCACAATTGTTTTCAGAATTTGGCAAGTCAGACTCCCTGGGTCCTTTTCAACTACCCATCTAATAACCAGTATATTTCCCCCCTTCTCTCTACTGGGTGGCTCAAGGACACAGTGACAATATGTGATCTGTGAAATAAGAAACCTCAGTTTAGATAGGAAGGCATACACACAAAATACTGAATCACACTGTTATATATTAGCAACACATATATCCAGATATATTATTTAGACTACTCGATCACCTGATATATGTGGGTATATATCTGTGGGAGATAAGTAGGCAGGAATCATAGTGTAATTTAGGGGGGAAGGCATTGGTGGACAGTACTAAAAAAGAACTGGGAGTGGGGCATAAGGATCTCTCAGGAAAGTATATTTGGCAAGCAAAAGGCAGCCACTGTAGTTTGTTTTGTTTTTTAATGAAAATGACAACTAAAATACATTATGCAAAATGAACTGCAGGAGGGTGAAACTGGAAGTAGGATGTTCAATTATGAACTGGTGGGGGGAAAGGCAACAGAGGTAGGTAATGTATCAGGTGAGGGAAGGGAAGATATGAATGAAGATTCCAAATGAAGCAGACATTCCCGATTGCCGCCCAATACCCACTTCCTGTGCCTTGCTCCTCCTGAACTCCAGCATCCCCGGGTGTCTGTCCTTCCCTGACACACCTCACGTGCCTTTGGGCGAAACTAACCCCACATTCAGCTTCCTAGGGGCCCAGACCGGCCTAAGGATAGTCTCATAACCCTTGCCACGGGCTGGTTCAGAAATAAGCACGTGACCTACTCCTGGGCCTGTGAGAGTCCATGAGACAAGAGAGGTGCTGGAAACTTTTGGGAAAGTTCTTCCAGCTGCTGGGGGTCTTCTGGAAGCAACCTTTGCTATTTTCCACTGGGTGTGATCTAAGTAGCACAGAACCCCGATAGCTGCTGGCAGGCAGCCTATGTCCATGAGGGGACACTCCCCAGTGTGCAGCCATGGTGGACAGAAGGGCTGAGAGACCGAGAGACTAGCTAGCTAATGTCACTGTTGAGACGTTGCATTCACCACTGCCGAAGAGATTCAATTATGCAAGTCAGTAAATGCCTTTCCTGTCTAGTCTTAGGAAGCATTTCTGTTATTTGCTCCTGAGGGTATGCTCCTTAATAGTAGTACCTTTCTGAGCTTGAGAATGAAGAAAACTGTGCTCAGCTTAGAAATGAGGAAGCTGCGAAGGGAATTTATTTACAAAGTTGATTAATTTCAGTTTAGGGCACCGTACAACCAAGTTGCTAAAGCTAGCTCTCTGAGAAGTGTCATGGAAAAATTAGAGCACATTTAAAGAATCGAATCAGTGATCTCATTCTCCAGATAAACAAAAAGGTCTTATTCCTCTTGTAGAACTAGGGCCAAAGGTAGGACACTGAGGGATGTTCTGACGGAATCTACCCTTGACTCAGAGTCGGAGTGGGTTTCCCACACCGCTCCCTGGGGCCTGTTCTGGGTTCTTATCTGCTGTTACCGCAGACTCGGCCTGCTCCGGCCTTCTGTGTTTGTGTCTTTGCTAAGTCCTCTATGACTGACAGCTTGTACTGCCATTTACTTCCTGAAAATCTTGCTTTGCTGGTTTATGGACACGTAGCTCATTACTATAGCAACTACTATCCCCAAGTGTCCATTAGTAGATGAGTAGATAAAAGAACTATGGTACATTTACACAATGCAATAGTTCTTGGCCATAAAAAAGAAAACAATGTTACCCTTTGCAACAGCATGGAGAAACATGGAGCACATTATGCTAAGTGAAATAAGCCAGTCAGAGAAAGACGAATACCATGTGATTACACTCATATGTAGACTCTAATGAACAAACTGAACTAATAAGCAACATAAAGACACACTCATGGACGGAGAGCAGGCTGACAGCTCTCGGGGGTGCGGGTTTAGGAGGTGCAGGGACCGAGCAAAAAAGTAAAAGGACTCATGGACACAGACACGGACACCCGTGTGGTGATTACAGTGGGGAGGGGGTGAGTGGAGGTGCGAGAGGGTATAAGGGGGATAAATGATAATAGAAAAAGTACCATAAAAAATAAGCTATTAAAAAATAAAATCAAAATACAATTATATCTTTGTGAATGTAATGAAAACATACCAAATTAGTTTCTATCTCCTATTGTGGTCCAATTGAAACATTTTTAATAATTATTTTAAAACATTTATTATGTCTAATTACATTATTACCTTTCCTGTTTTAACAATCTCATAAATAAGCGGAAAAAATATTTTTAAATGATTTACAAAGATACTGGGATTAATAATTTATGTGAGAATCAATCAGAATAAGTGCATTTAAATTAAAATGTCAATGCCATTAAAACATTCATCAACCATTTTTTAAAAATCAAATTAAAGAGTAGTACCTATCTCTTTTAAGGGTACACAGATTTTTTGCTTCATAATAAATTCTTCCCCAAATATCCCCAAATCTTATAATCTTAGATTTTTTTACCTGATGTTCCAGCTTCATGATTTTTTTCTTCTGGTTTGCCATTTGACTTGAAAGCTCTTTTTTCATCCACCTCACCATCCCCCCACCACGCAGGCTGCCCATATAGTGGAGTGCCTCGGGGCATGGCAGAAGTATCTGGAAAGAGGCAGGAAAAATCTGTCTAAAGCATATGAAACAGAAAAAATACATGCTTTTGCAGAACGTTAGAACTGCCTACTTGATTTATTAAATGAAAAACAAAGGACAGTCTAGATAGCTAAGAAGTACTTAAAAAACTCAGTATTTGTGTACGATCTTATTCAATGTTGGACATGACTAAATAAATGAAATTTTGCACTTGCTAGTATCAAAGTGATGACACTGCTATAGCCCAAAAACTTTTTACGGCAGTATAATCAGTTCTTTGGTACATAGAAATGAGTCATTAAATCTAAGTATAAAGATTAAAGTAAATTTTGGTATGAATGGCCATTTAAAAAGATGTTTAAAGCTATAAGGCATTACAGAGGAACTAAATTTAAACTAGCTACTAATAGGATTAATAGATTTACATTTGAACAAATTTGGTAATGTCTATCAGTTTAAAAAATGTTTTTGTATGAATGGAATTATTTATATAAAGCATTTTTTACAGTTTCTGGAACATGATAAATAGGATAATTATGATGACGTAGCACCAGTGGATATTTCCTACTAATTCAATTGTTATAATTCAAAAGAAAAAGCAAACAAACATGAATTAGTAAAAATGCTATAAGGAAAGCTACATTTAGTTCCCTTAAATATCGAAACATTAGCCCTGGCTGGTGTGGCTCCGTGGATTAAGCCCGGTGGGCCTGTGGTCACCAGTTCAATTCCCAGACAGGGTACATGCCTGGGTTACAGGCCAGGTCCCTAGTGGGGGCTGTGCAAGAGGCATCCACACATTGATGTTTCTCTCCCTTTCTTTCTTCTTCCCTTCCCCTCTCTAAAAATAAATAAATAAAATCTTAAGAAAAAGAAAACTTAAAAAAATATTGAAATATTAAACACACACACAAATGCCATATAATGTGTTTTATAGTGCTTTGCAGTGACACACTGGCTGCATTAAAACCCACTCTGAGACTGTCATTTTCATTAGTATTGCTATTCATCCATGGGCATGGCCGAGTTTCTGAGAACAAAGCCTGCCACTCCCTCACGATCGAGCATAAAGACATTTCCCATGAGGTTACCACACCTGCGGCTTTCTCCTCCGACTTCAGCGCCTCTGGGGCTTTGTGCTGTACTTCGGCTGCAGAATCTGCTACCTTTGAATCCACGCTTTTGGCACTCGCAGATTTTGACAACTCTGGTTCTGAAGATTTCTGGGACAACTGGAGCTGAATGGTAAACTTCTCATGCTATAAAATATTTAAGTGAAACATCCACGGGTGAAATCAACCCTAGCAAATGGTAGGGTTCCGAAAGAAATAAGGCAAAACTTCTTACCTTTAGAGCCTCTTCAGGGACCCTCATCTCTCCTCGTACTACAGTGAAAAGATTTGTATGTGAACAGGGGCTAAGGAAGAACATAATTTCAAAATTGTACTAGTATCATCAGGTCATCATAGCAGAATTATTATATTCCCCTAAGCGTTAAATGTTAAACTATGCTCACAAATATAAAAATTTTCATTTTTAACTACCAAAGGAAATCTGGAAGTCTAGCAAGTAATTCTAAACTTAGGTAATAATGGCCTACAAGCAAATCACTGGATCAATACTCAGAGCACAAAAGACATTTTCAGTCCAATAATATGATTACAAAGAAGAAAAGGCACCTGGATCAAATTATATTGATAGGTAATCACAAAACTGTGAAAGGAAGTAGCTCATCAGTGATTACCCATCAGTAAACCCTGAAGGAATTCGATGACTCACACTCCACCAGCACTGATAAAAATAAAGTCCATGTGGAAAATCCGAAAGAAAGGCTGTAATTAGGGTCCTTACAGCAACCACTGCCACCTCCTTCCCCCGTGGAATTGCAATCAGGGTCGGCTTACATTATCAAACAACTGATTCCATACAGATTAGAAGCAAGTGCCGGATATAATGAACGCTTTCATCACTATGCCAGAACAGAACAATGCCCCTGTATATTAAAGAGATCTCCCACTAAACAGTGGAGGTCACACTTCCCACCATTACTTAATCCTGCAATGAAAGGACTTTTATAACCATGTACTAAATTTGACTCTTTACCAATTCAGAGCCCCATGGCTTCAAGGGTAGAAAGCTGTAATTACCATGACTACTTGGGGAGGCGGGGAGACTTCTCCTGCCTAAGGAGCAGTACATTTGTAAAAGAGTATTTAACCTATATTTCTACTCATTAAGATAATAAAAACTCAGGTCTTTTTTTTGGAATTTTAAAGAGCTTTGGGGGAATATACTCTTCAATTCTATTAACCTGGCTTCCTATTCCACAGCTAAGGAACCTGGGGACTGAAAGGGCAGAACCCAAAGACAATAATTTGCTCACCTGATCCCAGTCTGGGGTTCCCCATCACTTCACATTGCTTCCTACAGCTATGAAATATTAAAAAGTTTCTTTTTTGTTATGAACATATGCTGGTAGATATGCAAGTATGTATTTCATTACTAAGTACATTTAATGAAAAATAAAAGTTTTTCCCCAAGAAACTCATTAACAGCTAGAGAAGACTTATAACATTCTTACATTTTCAATGGAAAACAGAGCATGTTTTAAAAACTGAAAGCCATTTCTATTTTTTTCAATGGAAACACAAATGATTTTAGCCAGCAGTGAGGGTTTTCTGGTGCTGGCAGTCAACTCCTGGGCAACCCTGAAGACGATTCCCCAAGGGAGATACGGGGTGTCATCTTTAGACTGAAACTCTGTAAGATCAGGGAAAACTTGACAGACAGCTCACACGCTTTACCTACCAAGAAGGTTCCTGTGTGCGGAACTACCAAAGAAATCAAGACCCCTCTTGTTTAGTTGATGGATTTACCTGAGAACTCTGGTATGACGCTGAGATTCCAGGGCTGCCCTAGCCCCGGGTTTTATCCCCAAAGCTGCCACCTCTCTAGTGGTAGAGAGCTAAGTGATTGTCTTGCTAATTAAGAAAAATGACAAACTGAGGTACAATTATTCATGATATGTCAGTAAGTTACAAATTATACAACAGTATTATTTATTATAGTCATGTCAATCATATCTGAATTTTTTAAAAAAGTTCCAATACTTGGTTATTAAAAATCATATTATTTATAAGCTATTTCTGTTTCTTTACATTAAGACTATGATTGTTATTCTAAGTCATTACTATGCTCAATTTATTCAGGAAATGTTTATCTAAAAGTGACATCATGGAACTCATCTACATACTAGTAATGTGTTCTTGACATCATCTTTTATCTTAATGATAATCAAGAGTAAAATTTTAAATAGTTTCAGTTACTCCTAAGGGTTTGGCTTTAAAACACCAGGTGACAGACATCCTTGTGAGCACAACTTTCCAAAATTACTTTACAAATTAATTCAGTGAATTGTTTCACTGGGGAAATACCAATCACAGAAGAAATGAGGAAAAAAATTTAAATTTTCCAAATATTACATGAGATTTTGTTACTTGGGACAAGATTTCCAATGTTTCAGAAAGTGCTGTATTCTCAAACAATTGAGATAGGTATTTAATATTCCCTTAAAAACTTATTACTAAAATATGTGACACAGTTTTGAAGACAATATAAAGAAAAAATATTTGAATACAATTATTTTATACAGTGGAAGAATGGGAGGAAAGCACTTTTCCTAAATTTATATATTTTTATCTTAAAATATATTCATAAGGTTATTTTAAAAAATTCACCCTAAAGTTAGCCCAAAACTTTCTTTTTTGACTCTTCTCATTAGGGAAGTAAGAAATCTCCCTTATTTGATGATATCTGCTAATGAAATATGCAGGAATGCTACATTAGAGTCCACACTGTATTAAGATTCTAAGGGATGTCAAAGGTTTAAAAAAAGTCATGGCAGAAAACCTTTCAAGGGAAAAATTTTAATCTCTTAGCTTAATTTTGCCCATATCTTCAGAAAAATATGTCATTTTATTTTAGCAGATGAATACCAGCTTGTGGAAGACCCTGTTCTACAGAAACACGGTGTTTAAACAACCGAGTTTAACTTTTCCCTCGTGGCTTTATGGCTCATCTCAATTTCTTAAATTTCATTCTTTCATGCTTTGTAAATGTCCTTGATTTTCAAAATTTGAAAAATGGGCTTTTGTCTTGTTGTGGATATCCACCACACTAATCAGGGAAAATCTTAGCTTCTCTGCATGAAGAGCACATTTTTCATTATGTTTAAACCATCTCGTCTTAGCAGCCCTTACCTGGGACAAGCAGTCTCCCAAGTACGGATAAATCATGATCACTACCCCAGGTGACCACCTTAAGCTGTGACAATGATTTTTACCAAGTTTCTGTTACAATAACCCAACCATTTGTCGGCCACTATGGCAGGAGGAGCCAAGTTTGGGAAAAGATAACTCCATTTTTAAATATATAATATGTAATTATATATATAATAAAATATCTTACAAAAACCCATATGACTGGGATGGCGAGGAGTGAGAATTAAGGAGTGTAAGTGGTGTTTAAATCATTTCCCACTGAACAGAGAAACCACACCAGACTCTGAGGTCCCTCCCAGGTCACCAGTGGTTCCTTCTTAGCCCTTTATCCTCCTACTAGTTCTCATCTCTCCCGCCGCTTAACCACGGAATGTGACATTTCTTAGTCTTTGGGCTTTTTCCCAATCTGTATTCAACTCCCTGGTGATCTTATTTGGTCTCGAGGTTTTAAATACTATTTATACAGTGAAAATTCCCAAACATCTCTCTCTCCACTATACCTCTCCCCTGAATTCCACCTGTATGTCCAAAATATCCAAACTCAACTTGCCAGATGTCCTCAGACCCCAGATTTACTCTCCCACTTAAAAATAACAAAAACGTGGGCAAAATATGTGAGCAGTTTCTAAGACAAACCACATCAAGCAACAAAAGAAGTGATTCCTGAATGAAGAGAAACATCAAGCTGAGCCCACTCACTACCCCAGCGCACTGCCCTAAGAGAGCTTCCGGGTCACAGTGCAAAAGGGAGTAATCCTGGCCAGTGGGTGCCCTGGAGGCACTAGGTTGAGAGCTGGCATGCAGGACCAAGGTGACTACAGATCAAGGGACTGAGTCTAAAGAGAAGAGAGCTACACGGAGAGAACTGCAGGCATCACCAAAGGGTCCTCCTCAAGTATGCAGCGGAGGTCTGGTCAGCACATCCATGTGAGAGCAACCGCCTAGGGCTGGGGCAAGAACCACCTGGAAGAATGAAAAGTACCAGTGCTTAGGAGCTCACAAACAGCCAGGAATAGTGTCGGTTCCCAACAGCCAGGCTGGAAAACCTCATGAATTGTGAGTCACTGGACAAAGCGTGGGTCTGTCCATTTTTACTGTAAAGGGCCAGAAAGTAAACATTTTAGGTTTCTTAGGGAAATATGATCTCTTCTGCAACCACTCAGCTCTGCTGGGTAGTGCAAAAGCAGCCATAGGAATATGTAAATGAGTGGGTGTGGCTGTGTTCCCATACAACTTTCTTTACAAATACAGGCTGAGGGCCAGATTTGCCAGATGGCTTGCTGACCCCTATGGTAGAGTACACAGAAATGCATTGTCTCTATAGTGGGGACTAACTAGTTCAGACTAATCTTAGAAGCCTAATAAATTTTAAAAGCAAGACCCAAAGTGATAAAATATTTCCAAGTAACCTCTGCCTCAGAATGAAGCTCAAAAATGTTAGTAGAAATACAAAAATATGCATGTAATACTCAACCAGGTAAAATGCACAATGTTTGCCATCTAATCAGAACTGATGCAGAACTGACACACATGTCAACAAAGATATTAAAATTATCATAACCGTATTCCTGTGTTCAGAAAGTTAGGTAGAAACTTGGAAGGTATGAAAACCAAAATCCAAACTGAACTTCTAGAGATGAAAGCTATACAGAATAGATGTCACTAGAGATTAGTAAACTTAAAGACATAGCAATAATAACCATCTAAACTGAAACAAAGAGAACAGATAATTAAAAAATAAACAGAGCATAAGATGGGAGATGACTTTGAGTAGCCTAATTTAATATACATTTCATTGAAATTCCTAAAGGAAGAAAGGGAGGACAGAAAAAAAACTATTTGAAAAAACAATGGCAGAAAATCTTTCTAAATTTGATTAAAACCATGAACCTACAGGTTCAAGATGCTGGACAAACCCAAGGCACAAAAGCATGACTACCACCCAGGGACATCCTATTCAAATGGCTCAAAATCACGGATGCAGGAAATAATGCACTCAAGAATCCCATGGAGCAATGTGTTCAAGTGTGGGAAGAAAAGGAATGTCCCCTCGAATTCTGAACCCAGCAATAACAACTGCCAGCACCCGAGGTGAAATACTTTTCCGGACAGCTGGAAGAATTCATCACCAGCCAAACTAGATTACAAGAAATGGGAGGCAGAAAGAAAGTGATACCGGATGAAAATATGAATCTACAGAAATGAAGAAAGTGAGACAAGGCAGCTGCCCTGGTTTAAGATATGAGTACAATGAGTGTAAGAACACAAACTACTTCTTATTGGTTAAATCTCTTTAAAAGGTAACTGACTTTTCACTGACTCTGGAGCGATCTACCTTCTGGCCTCCCCTGTTCTACTCTGTGGGGCTCCGGCCTCGCTCCCTAGTCCTGCTGTTCTGCTTCAAGCCCTTTGCCCTGATCTCCATCAGCCTGAGAAGCCATTTCCCCAGATACCCTGTGGCCGCCACATTCACTTCCTCCCACTCTCTGCCCTAATACTGGCTTCTCAGAGAGGTCTCCACGAACATCCCTTTCAAAATCGTAACTTCGCAGCCACCACCACTAGTTCTCTGCATCCTTCACTCAGTTTTTCTCCATAAAACTTCTCGCCCCCTCTACGACCCTGCTGTGTGTATGTGGTCGGTTCTCTCCAATCCATGAAAGTGTAAACTCCAGGAGGCCAGAGGCCGTGGTCTGTTTTATTCACTACTGCCTCCCCAGACGATGGGGACGGGCTCTGCCTGGCACAGAGGAGACATTTAAGAAAAAATTTTGAAATGCATGAACATAGGCTTGCTTATCTTCTACATTTTGGGCCACTTGGGAGATTTATGAGCTCTTTTTGAAGTTTATCTTCATTACTGCAGCATTTTACTATCCCTCCTGAGTTTACTGTCATTTCTTAAACTTGGATATTTCACTACTTGCTTTCCTAAATATTTAATTACTCTAGTAGAAAAAGTATTTTTGGCAGATAAATTTTTTCTTAGTTCTAGTCTCAATTTATGGTAAAGTGTTCTTTCTATTGCTGTAGCATTTTTAGAGTAGTTTTCCACTCCAAGGTATAACGATTTGTACATTGGCTAATTATTATGTCTAATTTTCGTATAAAGCACTTTAAGATAGCTAAATACAGAACAAGTAAAGGTAATATATAACTTATTTTGTAAAATTCATCCTATATAAAATTTCTGCCACTGTAACAGTTCAATGTTCATTTATACCAAGTGCTCAAAACTCATCAGCAACATGAAATACTATTTTATTTTTAAGATTTTATTTTTTTCTTTTTATTTATTTTTAAAGATTTTATTTATTTATTTTTAGAGAGGGAAGGGAGGGAGAAAGAGAGAAAGAGAAACATTAATGTGCGGTTGCTGGGGGCCGTGGTGGCCTGCAACCCAGGCATGTGCCCTGACTGGGAATCGAACCTGTGATGCTTTGGTTTGCAGCCCGCGCTCAATCCATTCAGCTATGCCAGCCAGGGCTTCGATTTTATTTCTTTTTAGACAGAGGAAGAGAGAAGGAGAGAAACATCAATGTGTGGCTGCCTCTCGTGTGCCTCCTACTGGTGACCTGGCCGGCAACCCAGGCATGTGCCCTGATCTGGGAATCGAACCAGTAGCCCTTTGGTTTGCAGACTGGCGCTCAATCCACTGAGCCACACCAGCCAGGGCTGATATACTATTTTAAAATAATAAAATCAACTGAGTCTAACTTGAGGATGTGGTTTGTAGTTCTGGCTCAACACTGACCGACAACCCTGAACACGTCTTTTAGAACAAAACATTTCCCCAGGAATTTGAGTGTATATATGGTGAGAAGGAAATGGTAGTTCACGGTTAAGTAATCCTTGTACAACTTGTGAGCCATGAGTTGTTATATCTCAATAGTTTCTTCTTAATTTAAAACTTGAAGCAAACTTTAAAGAGTTTCAGGAACCCAAATTTCTTACTGTTTTCTCATGTTTTCAAATAGTTGGTGCCAAATGGATTAAGGAGGTACTTAGATACCAAGTACATTTGTACTTGTTTTTTGATAAAACATATTATGCTGGTGGAAAATGACCCGTGAATCAAGGTTTTAGTGCTAATTCTTAAATACTTTGTGTGATATATATCTTAAAAAGGATTTAAACTGTGCAAATCTAAAGTATTAATGTTTAATGGCTGCATTCACATGTCCCTTTGGCTCTACAATTATAAAGTTTACATGATGTGCTACAAAACTATTTTTTCATAAAGATTTAAGTTAAATATAAAATAAATACTAGTTATGATCTAAGGATGATTTCATAGTGTTAGTACATTTACTTTACCTAAGTATCAACTCTGCTTATCTGAGACTACATTTTCTCTGCTAGTGATAAAAATCCGTCCAAGAAGCCAAGATGTTTAATGCATCCCTTAATCTCAAACTCTAGATAAATGTAGTAATTGAAAAAATTAAAACTCAACAAGAATTTTCACCATTATGTAAAATATTTGAATTTTAAATATAAGTAAGTCCTCTTTACAAAGCTTTTGCCATGTATAGATAGAAATGTTTTTATTCTTCTTCAATCACTCATGTCCCTTCTCTTCACTAGTGATTCTTTGCCCTGCCATAGGGAGTAGACCAGTCACATCCCTGTTCAGTTCTTAGAACCCTATTTTTTAAAGAGAAGATTTTTAAATATAAAGTGCATGATATACTTAATAAGGCAGCATGGGTCTTAAAATACATGGGATATTAAAAATGTTGAATTAGATAGGCAAAGAGATGAAATAAATCAAGTGGAATAAAAGTAGGAACGAAGGAAAGGCAGGGTTAAATTTGCACATTCCTCCCGGGAGGTTGGTGTGTGCCATTATCCAACCCCCCTCGCCCCCCAGATATCTCTGGGCTGAGCTAATATTAAACACTTTCCTCTCTTCCCAGCTCCATTCTTTGATACCCAAATTACATATCTAATAGCACTGCTGGAAGATATTCTGCTAAAAATACACATTGGGGGCAGGGGGAGAAGCTGAGTATACCAACTTTTCCAGGATTATTTTTGGGAACAGGCAAAGTAACAACAATTATATATATATATTATTTTTAAATGTGCATTTTAGTATGGAAAGACACAGGGACTTCTAGCATGCCTATATTGTGAATTTTTATGTCTCAAGAAATGTTAATGTACACTGGAGTAAAGATTTTTGAATAAATTTAATAAATGCACAAAACCATATAAGGATATCATATCCAAATCTCAGCTTATCTTCAAGTTTCAAGGTGATATAAGTCTGTTCTGGAATCCTTACATCATTCACAAAAGTCTACAAGGGAAAAAAAAAAAACCAGATGTTAGGTAACATATGAAGTATTAATTATTGCATTTCAGACAAGCAAATCCTCCAAACTGATTCTTAGAAGTACATATCATAGGGTGGCTAATACAGTTTGTGCCTCATAAAATGTGTCATGTGTCTTATACACTGATAAAATGTCCCACACTAAGCCCTTTATCTTGTTACTGTAACACGCAGAGAGCCAGGCTGCGGCTCCTCTAGGTCTCCACGCTGCCAAGGCAGGTCCAGGAACCTGACAACACCACCAAGAAGAGCTCCCAGTCTGACACTGGCAACCTGTGAAGGGTACCTAACTCTTGATGTCATCAGAATGTACTGAACTCATGTTAGCTTTTGGGGGCAATTCGAATTATTTCTTAGAGCTGCTATTTCATTACTTTTATTCTTAGAGTTTTTCAAAAGAACAAAAAGAAAATTTACTTTGAAAAAAGTTGAATAAAACCCATTCGATTTTACAATTAGCATGATTCCTTTGGACCCTTTTAATGAAAGTTCACATTTTTGGGGGTACTTTTTAAAAAAGTACATTTCAAGTGCCCAACAGCCACATATGGCTAGTGGCTACTGTAGTGCAAAGCACAGATAGAGCAGGGTGATGCAATCGTGAAATAAATCATCATTTATTGCACCAACCTCCAGTTTTCTTACTCCACTGCCCAAAATATTGCACCATCCTTCCAAGAAAATATAAAAGACATCTGGAGACATTATCTGTCTTTTTTTTTAATTGTTTGTTCAGCTATCAACTGAGAATTCAGCATTTTTCACTGGGCTGGTGAACACACAGTACACTATACAGATGATGTGTTAAAGAACTGTACACCTGACACTTACACAATTTTATTACAACCAGTGGCACCCCAATAAATTCAATTAAAAAAGCAAAACTAATTTTTTTCATTTAATTTCCATAAAAGAAAGGAGAAAACAAGCAGATATTTCACAATTATAAGATGAAGTCAAAAAGACAGATAGCATCACTCCAGACTCCAGTGACAATGATAAAACTGATAATAATGTAAACAACATATCAGACCATGAGTCTCCCTTGAAGATAATCCTAAAATGAATTTTCTCTAATGTACGAATTTCTCTAACTCAAGAAGACAGAATGTTTCAAAGACAACAACTTCAGAGTACTTTTCATCCAGTTAGCCATTCAATAAGAATCATGTAATATTTTGCAACAAAAACCTAACCTAAACCATTGTGTATTTTTAAAAAACTTTTTGAGTGGATTCTTTCTCAATTTTTGATGCTTTTGTTCCAACACTTATTTGATTTAGTTTGAAAGTACTAAACACATGCTTAAGGAGGGTATTTATATAGAGGGTAGATCATAAGCATCAAAAAATTTAAAAAATCCAGTCAAAAGCTTTTTTAAAAAATATTTTATTTATTTATTTTTAGAGAGGGAAGGGAGGGGGAGAGAGAGAGAGAGAGAGAGTGAGAGAGAGAGAGAGAAAGAGAGAGAGACATCAATGTGTGGTTGCTGGGGGCTGTGGCCTGCAACCCAGGCATGTGCCCTGACTGGGAATCGAACCTGCAATGCTTTGGTTCACAGCCCACGCCCAATCCACTGAGCTACGCCAGCCAGGGCAAAAGCTTTTTAATACATAATGGTTTAGGTTAGTTTTTGTTGAAAAACACCGCATGATTCTTTTAACTGTTGCTTATAAATCTAAAACAAAGAAAATTTTTGCAATTGCAAAACAAAATGGTCATCCTCTTAATAAAATGTTAAGCAGCCACATGATGCATTTTGACAATACAAGAGCAAGAACTAAAAATAATGATAAATGAGATACCAGCTAGAGATGTACCTGAAATCTGAATTTGAAATTCAACAGTTATAAAATGAATACATCCCAGAAGAATGCATGACAAGTGGTGAACAGTTCGTGGTATCCAGAGAACATAAACCATTTTATATAGTACATACATTTCAAAAGCAGAAAAATATGCCAAAAATACTGAGTCTGTCATGCCTCATGTTTTATTACAATTTCATGTTTTTCATTACCTTTTTATGCTTACTTCTACAGACTATTTGTGAAGAGTCAGAGGTCCCCCAGACACAGACAGCAGTGATGACTGCTATTTCCGGCCTGCTGGAAGTTAAAGACCTCCAATTTGCTAAATTTACAGAACATGTAACAATGGCACACTTAACCGCCCAGAGTGCAGACATCATATAAAATACACAAGGTTTTCGTTGATAAGTTGAAACTTTAAAAATTACTTTACTCTTTCCCTTTGAATTCCATTTTTCCATCTTCAATTTTATTGCACTTAAGATGTTCACAATACCTCAATGGTGGGGAAGTTTAGAAGGTCCTGAATGACATTCAGTAAAATATACTATGGGGATTATGTTATCATGGTCACATTCTCAAATGCCTACGCATAACTGGCACTTTGTAATATGCCACAAATACTAGTTTCTAAGACTACAAAAAATTTAGGAGAATTTTTATCAAGCACGGGTAACTTGGACACAATGTAATACTGCTAAACTCAAAATCACACTTCTTATGGTTGGTCTGTGAGTAATCCTAAATCGACCCTGCTTCACAGAAAGATTGAAATGTTAACACAAAGAAAATGCAAAGGCTTCAGGTATTTAGAACTCTAATTTCAGGTTAATTTCCAAAATGAGTATTTTAGAGTGTTTTAAAACTTTTATCTTGAGTTTGCCAAAATATTCTATAAATAATTACAAAACAAAAAAGCTGAGGTAAATGATAGAAGAAGAATAAAAGAAAATATTATTTCACTAATGTGTAGTATGCAGAAGATAAACAATTAGGTACACAGTTCTAAGCCAATTTTATTTAAAACTGTCTCAACCTAAAATGCCATAGTTATTCAAAGTGCTTAAAATGACCTGTGAGATCCATTTTAAAGCTTAAGATTGCTCAACTCTCGTAACTATTAAGTACCTATTGTGTGTTTAACACATGGACTAGGTACTTCCAGAGATCAACGAACATACAGTTTTAACATGCTGACCTTTATGACAGAAATACTCCCCAAGGTCTAAAAAGACTGAGGAAATACGAGCCAGACGCGAAGTTTCAGCTCACAAAAATGCAAGTGAAAACAGCTGCCAGAAAATAGTTTCCTGAAGGTCTAAAACTATAAAAGGAGGGAAGAAAATTTCAAAGAGCAACACATGCAAAAAATCATTTTCTTACAGCAATTATAAAGCATTTTAATACATTAAATATGGAGAGAAAAAGAGGTCTTGTTTCTTTGTGTCCTTTGATCGGACCTCTACCTGGAAGGCGGGACGGACAGGACAGCGGGGCCCAGAGAGTGAAGTGACAGCCGAGATCCCCAGGGGCAGAAGGGAGCCGGGGAGTTCAAAGTCAGGTGTCTGGGCCACAAGTGCCATGTGCTCTCCTCGCGCCGAGGAAGCCTGGGAGCCCAACCCAGAACCCCAAACTCCCCCACGCAAACCACTAACCTCACAGAAGCAACCCCAACTAGATAAACACCTATTTAATTTCTATACAACTAAATTACATAATTGATAGTATGACATCTTAGAACCACCATGCAATATATTAATTTTCCTGGAAATCTGAACCGAGTGGCCGGGAGCACAACCACTTCCATCACACTGCCAATGATGAGTCTGCTCTTCTTCCCAGACCGTTCCCTTGCATCTTCCACATTCTGGTCTGATGCTGGCAGGACCCGCAGGGGGAAAGGGGGTCCCAGCAGCGGCTGGAACACAGGGAGCTGAGGGGCAGCCCAGTAACAACGGGCGGAGCCTAGCGGATGCGAGGGGGACCGATGCGAGGGGAACCGTTGGCCCGGTGCTATCAGAGGGCCGAGTGCTCCCGAGGAGGGGCAGCGGGAAGAACCGAAGGCAGACAAGGGTTCTCGGGGACAGGGGCTCCAGGGGCTTGCAGGAGAGTGACTCAACACCCCCTACAGATGCAGGGGCTGCTTCCCCAGGCAGGGCAACCTCATTTCTGGGGCCAGCAACATCAAGTTTAGATCTAGGTCTCTTGGGGGTGTATTTTAGGGTAAAATGAAAGAGGAATAGAAGTGGGAATAGGGAGAGTTATTTAAAAACTGAGTTGGTAAATGCTTTTTTAAAAAAATACAACAGTGTATTTACAGAAAAGTATATAGGCTAGACAGGGTGCTAAGCTTGTTTTACCTGCTTTTCTTACCAAGAGGTCAACTAACACAAATGTTTACTATTAAAAGCATTTAAATGATTAACTTATCCATAGCTTCACAACGATCTGAGAGGACTACCAGTTTACTATTTCTATTTTTTAAAAATTGAGGAGCAGAATGATTAAGTAACCTGTCTAAGTTATATCGCTTGTAAGACTTCAAGCTGGGCTCATACCCACTACATTATCCCCTTACTCCTGAAATTACTACTTTTAACCTGATGCTCAAATTTCTAGAGTTATATGAATATTAAGAGTAAGTAGGCTGCGAACAATAGTCTACACATTCTCTCATGAATAAAATGCGTGACAGTCGGTGGTTCACAGACTTTGGCATATGTCCGAGGCTGTCCTTTGGGTAAACAGTACATTTATCATTTGCGCAATGCTTTGAAGTTCTGTAACAGGCACGTACCCACATGTACGGTCAAATTTAATCCTTTTAATACTACAGACAGGGAATTCTTGTTTCACTGTTTTCAAGCTGAAGAAAGGTAACTAAATTTTGCATTGAGTCTTAAAACTCATAAACTTGAACTCACTACATTTTCATACAACTTTGGGAACTAATATGAATAGTAGGAGGAAACTGAAGTTCAGAGAGATTAAGTGGTTTGTCCCAGGTTGGATTACTGGTAAATTACGGACTGAGATTCAAATTCAGGTCCTGATTTCAAGTTCAAAATGCAGATGGTGCTCTCTGTGATTTAGTGTATTTCATAAAACTATTCAATATAATCAAATTATGAGAAAGGTCAGCCTAGAGTAACTTAGAACTTAACGTCTCACCTGATTTTACAATCAACACCAAATGATTATTATATTTGGTCATAATCTCTTACACATTACATTATGATGTCATTCTCACTTCTTATGTTCCAAGGTAATAATGTCAAGACACCTTTGAACAGCACTGTGGTCAAGGTCAAACACTCTGGTCTTAAAAACAGAATGTAACATTATTCAAATATTCTACATATGGAAGTATGTTAAAAGCTTCCTCTGTAAAGTTCTTCGTATAGCAATTTAATTCAATTCCTTCCAAAGAAGATTCAGCGGGTTCACACACCATGCGGAGCCCAGGGCTAGTCACTCTAAAAGCAAAGGACACGCGAACTGTTCAGGAGCACAAAATGCAGCAGAACAACAGAGCGCAAAAGTAGATTTAACACAAGGCTGAGAATCAAGCGCCCAAAACACAGAGGTGTGGAGAAGGAAGGCAGTAATTCTGCAAACAGGAGCTGGAAGAAAAACTGTTTGCTTACTTGTAGGTTTCAAGTTAAAACACTTCCTGCCTACTCTGCCTATTCCCTTCTACTTTAATCCATTCAACGTGTGAACGGCATCAGCTAGTTACCATTTATAAACATCTTTGCTTCCTTCAGCAAAGATATTTACCTTTCATGAAAAAGTGGAATTTGGGTTTTACTTTTATAAATAAGTATGAATTTTATAAATGACAAGGCAGATGGGAGAAGGACCAGGCTGGAGGAACTTGAATGCATTCTCTGGAGGAGACAGCACTGCACGAACTGCCGTTTTGAAGGTGTGGCAGCGGAAGCATGATGCAGCCTGAATCTGGAAATGTGGATGATGCCAAATGCTCGATCTTTCAGTTCAAACCTGGAGAAGGCACACTTAGTTCTTTGCGCCATGGGGAACAAAGGCTTGGGTAAACCCAACAGAAAAACATGTCTGCAAAAATTATCTCAAAGAATAAATACAAAAGTCCTTCCGTGGCAGGCCAATTCGAAACAAGAAAAAAAATGTTTCACTGTATTTGCCAGTTTTCTGCATATGTTTTTGCATATAATGTTTAATGTATGTTTTGAGAAGCAGAAGCAGTTAGAAGCAGTTGGGATACATTTAGTTTCTGTTACATTCATGTTAAGATATTCAACAGCACAAATATGAACAATACTATATTTGCTTATGTTAGCAGAGCCATAAGAAAATTGAGAAAAAATAAGATAAATTATTCAATACTGCAGCTTTCTCTTATTCTGTGACTACTATGTTCTGCTGATGTAGAAAGATAAAATGAAGAATTAGGGGAAAAAAAACTCACTGCAGTCACAAAAATATCTTCAAAGTAGGAGCCCAAAGCAACAATAATGAACACTGGTGTTTACAGCATATTGGCCCAGGTAAGTGGGTGGGCTTCGCTTCTTGTTACTCTAGAATAGAAGGTCCAAAGTCTCCCACCATCTAGCATCAAACCACGTCTTCACCTCTATTTTCTCAAGTTAGCCCACACTTCTCTGCCTCCCAGGAATGCTTTTCTGTATTCTCACTGCCATGGCTTCTGGCTGCTTTCCCACATATAAATTCAAGTCATTGTGTGAGGCCAAGTTTTCATCTCATCTCCTTAAAGACTTTCTTAATGAAGCACCACAGGTGACAGCCAACAAACTTCTGAGCGCTTGAGTTTATTTCCTGGGCAGTCTCTTGGGAACACGGGCTAGTTTCATATGCTCTTGCATGGTCCCCAACGTGCTATGGACCTGGTAAGTGTTTAAAAGTAAAATGCAAAAAAAGTAAAGGAAATACAACACAATACAATACAATACGGGAAATGTAATCTGATTAGTCTTCCCGCAACCTTAAACCAATAATCAAATAAGACAAAAAATAATAATAAATGCTTAACATACCCCATTTAGGCTGCCCAAATCTTTGACCAAATGTTCATCCGCAGAGGCATCATAATTGATTACAGCATGCTGCTTATCCACACTACGAGACTGAAAGACATTTTTGAAAGTTAATCAATGTAAGGAAATACCGAACTAAGTAACAAACCCAAAGATTTGGGGCTAGATATTTTAATTATATTAATAGCTTAGTAGACAAGGATAGGAAAATGTCAAAGGAAAAGTACATTAAGTTGTATTTAAGCTGTGTTACTACACAACGCAAACTTGGCCTCGCTCCCCACAGAGGAAAGCAGCCAGAATTTCAAGACATTCTTCCCAACCAAATTCACACATTCTACTTTTGAGAGAATTTAAATCAGCTGGCTTTGTGGAATGCATGAATATTTTATTATAACTTAAAACTGTTATATGGAAATCATGCAAATTATCGTTTTATGTTTTATGTATGTTGTAAAAAACAAAGTACCCTATAGAATTTTCTTCTTTTAATACTGAAAACTACAACATAAATTATATAAGAAAGGCCAAAGATTTAGAGAAAAAAAGCCACAGTGTGCCATCTTCCTGAATAAAATGATCCTCTCTTAAAACATGGATTATGCCCTGGCTGGTGTGGCCCAATGGATTGAGTACCAGCCTGTGAACCAAAGGGTCGCCAGTTTGATTCCTACTCAGGGCAGATGCCTGGGTTGTAGGCCAGGTCCCCAGTAAGGGGCAAGAGAGACAGCCACACATTGATGTTTCTCTCTCTCTCTTTCTCTCTCCCTTCTCCTCTATCTAAAAATAAATAAAATAAAATCTTTAAAAAAATACAGAAAGAACTGACAGGAAGGGAGGAAGGCTAGGGTGAATTACGCCCCACTACAGAGGTGGGAGGGAGCAGTGCCCTGTGAACAGTGAGGTTCCCTGGCCAGGCTGTTAGAGGCACCATTCCCAGCTGTGACAGTGTGAGTCTGATCTCCACGCGTGTGTGCTGATCGGCGCTTAGTGCATACTCACAAAGGACCCTCTGCCAAGCTCTCTCTGAGTAGCTCTCTCCTCTCTGATACTGGGGACCCACGCCGGTCTCCTTGGACTCTCGGCTTCCATTTGTAATTCTCCTTATCTCCACGTAGGAAGAGTCTTACTCCACCAGCTCCTAAACAGCCATTCCCACATTTCCTGGGATGACACATGGAAAGCTCCCCTTCCAGTCTCTGATGAATGAGTTCCCCCATCTGAACCTAAGACACGGTCCAGTCCTGCGGCCTCTATCCAGAAAGAATCATTACTGCCTTTTTCTCAGCTGCCACCCTCACCGCTGCATCTCACTGAGGAGCCCAGAAAACCCCTGCACTGTTCTGTTTCTCTCACTGAATTTGTTTAATTAAGGTGGCATTGTCCATGCAACTTACTCATGTATTCATAAAGCTATACAGTGGCTTTACTTTTACTGTCTCAAAACTGTAAGTTCTTCAATGTTAAAGTAGAAATGTCATAAGCATACACAAATTTGATTCTCCCAGGGGTAATTCAGGGTCTCTCACTCTCAGCACATTGCTATTTAGGGCAAGATCCTTCTCTGCCGTGTGTATCTCGTAGTGGTGGGGAGAGGGATGCTGTCCATTGCAGGAAGCTTAGCGTGCTCCCTGGCCGCTTGGTCACTGCTTACGGGATGTCAGTAGTAACCACTGCCAACCACCAACCGCTTTTAATAATCACAGTGTCTCCAGATATTGCTAAATGCTCTTGGGGAGGCAGGATCCTCCAATTGAGAACCACTGGGCTAATAAACATTTCTACTCTAAGTTTTTATTTACATTGTTTAACCAAAAGGGGGTGGAGGGAGAAAGAAGGGAATAAAATTTTATTCTAGGTTGCCAGGACCTGTTAAAATATCTAATCCTCAAAAATCTAAAGATCCATTTTTCTGCTAATTATCTCACTCAAAAGTATCTTAAAAGTATTTGTTTTTCCCCAGCTGAGGACATGCTCATTGATTTCAGAAAGAGGAAGGAGAGAGAGAAACATCGGTGGGTGAATCATCAATTGGTCGCTTCCTGTAAGCACCCTGACCGAGGATGCAACCTGCAACCCAGGCATGTGCCCTGACTGGGAATCAAACCCACAGCCTTTTGGTATATGGGATGATGCTCCAACCAGCTGAGCACTGGCCAGGGCTCTTACATTAAAAACTAACCCTTTTAAACCTAATTCAGTAAATACCAACAATATTAAATTACACTCAAACTACTGGAAGGTATCATAAAGAACATCTCCCAAAGAAGCAGTGAAACTGGTATCAGTATCACTGAAGTATCCATGATTGATATGCAGTTTTACTACGCTAATTTTATGAATTGCTTACAAGTCTTATTTTAAAATTGCTTAATGTAAAGCTTACTTCTCAAGGGTCAACTTCTCTACTCTTGAAATTTCATTTTTCAAAATACAGGGTCCAGCAGAAGTAACACCTGCTTGAGTGTGGTTGGTAAGGTAATAATATGGGTGTAATGATTTATAGCTTTAATATGAACACTTGACCTAAAATGTCATATAGTGTGCTTAAGTGTATATTGTCATGTTACAGAACTATATGCTTGTGATTTTGTAATAAAAAAGGGGTGTATTTGTGCCAGACCCTGTATAATTCCCAAGACTTAGAACTTATTTTCAAATGATTCAAGGAGAAAACTAATTAATTAATTAAACTGGTAGCTAGAGCCAGAAAGTTCGAATCGATGTAGTATTCTTCTCCAAAGGAACAGAGAAATACTTCACACCCATCCCAGAGTTTGAGTGGACACACACAGAAAGCTGGTCCAATTACCTGCAACATGAGCTCACAGTCATCTCTCCCGACAAAAATCATTTCTCGCGGCAGCCTGTGGCGAGTGCCTCCACTGCTCACCAAAAACCAGGATGTTAAGCTCATTTTCTGCTTAGCTTCTAAGTCTTCGGCAAAGCTACGTCATCCTGCAGAGAGATGTTCGGAAACACACACATTCAGATATTTTTAGCGTTAGCATCCAACCAGCAAACCCTATCTCCCGGTCTAAGAATAGAGCGGCATTCAAATTCATCCCCGACTAGAGACAGTTACAGGTCCCAGGAAATGACATGTCTACCAAATTAGTGAAGCCCAGAGATTCTACTGAGAGTTCATGCACCTAACAAGATATTAGATAATTACGTACACAGTCAACTTAATAAACTTTTATCACACCTCTGAAAGACTGAGCATCACTTATAAAGGTCCAGAAGTCCTCGAGAAAATGGTCACATTAGTATCATGTTAACATCAGTAAACACTAGCAATACTGCACAAGTACATGTCTAACTTATAAATGATTTGAGAAAGACAGGCTAAATTCAAATGAATATATTTGATACCTGATTAAGAACTAATAATGGAAACCAAACAAATTGCTTTGCTGTCTACCAACTGAGGCCAGCTGTTAGGCTCATGGTGGCAGAGTCGAGTTTTCTGAAATTCTTATTTTTTCTCGAAAGCTCAAATATTATTGGCAAAAGTTTTTTTGTCAATACTTTCCCTTGGAGTGAGAGTCTCAATGTCTTCCAAATACAGAACGTCTTGACATACATGGTTCCACTTAAGGTTTTGCAACTTTATGCTTTATGATGGTACCAAGGCAATACACGTTCAGTAGAAACAGTACTTCAAATTTTGATCTTTTCCTGGGCTAGTGACATGCAGTCCGATACTCTCTCGTAAGGCTGGGCAGCGGCAACCAGCCACAGCTCCCATTCAGCCACGTGGTGAAAAGGAGCACCAACTGATACTCTATGGTGTGCAGTGCTGATGCCATTTTTTGGGGATATTGTGTTTTCACATCCCATCATACCTATGAAACACATCTGCTTATGATGACAAAAAGGAGGAAGGCAATTACCCTTGAGGTGCAACTCAAGATAATTAGTTGCCCAACTGTTAGGCTAAAGTACGTGTTCTGAGCATGTTTACTGTAGGGTAGGCTAAGGTATGGTGTTGGGAAGGCTAGGTGTATTACATGCATTTTCAACTTATGATATTTTCAACTCACGATAGGTTTATTGGAATATAACCGCATCATAAGTTGCGAAGCATCTGTACTCATGTCTACAAACCGCAGTTTGTCTGTCAATCATTGCTTCAAGTAAAAATGGTGTTCTGGGAAAGAAATGGCTAGTTCAGCTCACAACTCCAACAGTGGCACAAATGCTTTTCCTTGAGACAACCGTGGTACTTTGGGGGACAGCAGCGATGTGCAACTGGTACGCCGCAGGAATTTTTAAAATGCGCAATTCTTGACTATTTAGTTAGGGGCAGACATCATTTCCCTTGGATTGTCAAATAAAAAATGACAACAGCCAACACAGTAATAGCCATCCAGTGTGAATGAATCATAATTATACCTATTTTCTTTGTCAGATCAGCGAAAAACGTAATACATTTTTTGGTGTGCTGCAGAAGTTCAGTCATTAGTTCATGTGCGCCATGAGATGAAAAAGGTTGCAAATCACTGTTTACAGCATTAGTGCTTTGTATGCGCTTTCGCTTAGTCATACAGAATATGAGAAAGCTGTGACTCAAAGGTCAAGATTAAATAAAACGAAGCATTTTTACCACTTCATCCAGGGCATTCCCGAGTGAAACCGGCAAGTGCACGGCAGTGAAGAACACAATCACTATTAGCACGTTTGGCACTAATGCCTCTATCTGCGTGCTAAGGACCAGCTACTTACCCACCATCTCTTTGTGCTCTCCATTCAAGTATCAGTAAAATATGAAGGCAAATACTGTTTTGTATTGTTATAAAAACAGGTTTAACCTCGTGACTTTGACACAGTTTCAGGACTCCTGAAGGTCTAATGGGTGGAGTTTTGAGCACTGTTGTCCTGGAGGATGTGGCTCTGCCATTAAGGACAGACACACCGGAGTCACGCAGACCGACAGTAGCAGTCCAACTCCTGGTGCCACCACTTCTGATCCTGCCAGTCACCCCACGTCCCTTTATTTTCTCTTCTATACAAGGAGAATAATGACAGTGTCTACTCAACAGTTTTTTCTTATGAAATCAAAAAAGCAGTGCCTGTAAATGTTTTTCCATAAAGTGATACATTCTGATACAGTTTAATTAGAAGCAAACTATACTACAGTGGAATGAGATATTCTAAAATGAGAAATATAGCTGTACCTTAAAGCAAAATCTTGTAAAATGTAGAATTCTGTGTTAAGGTAAAAGGTAAAAATCTTATGTGGTACAAATGTATCTACACATTCGTGAAACAATGGGTTTCAACAAAACAGGCATATGTTTTCTGTAAAGCTAAAAGTCCTATTCCCTTTAGCTTATCTAATTGATATGATCAGCTTATGTGGACTCTTCAGTCTTCCATTCGGTCCCTAACTCCCCCCGATGCTGGTGTTCTTCTTAGCCTCCCACGTGTCTACTTGCTGTCCAATCGGTTTTTAGTACTTTGATTCTCTCCACACTTCCTGGGCAAGTGGAGAGAATCAAACAAACTTTGCCTGAGAAAAAGCCTCTCATCTAAATACGGTATATAATTTGCATACTGCCTTTTCAAGGAAGGACAATTTTAAAACAGGACACTAATAAGTAGGTCAGTAGCTTTACGATTATTTGAAAGCGGTAAAGGAAAAACATTACCATAAGATGTTAAAAGGAAGTCAAGTTAGCCTAAATAAACTAGAACACCTGAGGCAAACATAGGCAACAGGCACGGTTTCTTAACATTTTTGAAATCACAAAGTTATACATAAGCATTATTCTTATGCTACAAAAACATTGTTTTAAGCATTCATAAAATATCAAGCATAATTACATAACATACAAAACATAATATAAAACTCCAACATAAGCACAATAATAATATAAAAAAGTTATGGTTTTTTAGACCCTTTTGACATACAATGATGATTTAAAAAGGTAATTAAAAGAATACGACTTTTATGAAAAACAAAAAAAACACACATAATCCTCAAGGTGAGGTGTATTTTTTTTTGTTATTGGGGTGAGTCCTTTTTCTGCCTTACCTACAACAAATGGGAGGGAGGGAGATACAACATAAAGCTACTATCTCTCAGTTTTCATAAGGGACTCTCCACTCCGTAACTCTGACACATACTTGTTTTGGCCAATGGATTATGTCAGTAGACGTGATACCATCAGAGGTTACGCACAGTGTTTGGGCAGTCGGGCCTGCCCTCTTCCGCCTCTGCCGTCGTCAGAAAAAGAACATGCTGTGGTCCAAGGTGAATGAGAGACATGCGGAACAGACACAGGCCTGAAGTACAAAGTGAAGCCAGTCCTCAGTACACCATCCAACCCCTCGCTAAACGACAGATACAAGAGCAGCAACAGCAATGGTTGTTTGAAGCCACTGGGACACATGGGGTGATGTGCTTCATCACTGACTATAATGCACGGAAGGTGAGTATAATTTACTAAAACACAGTATTTTTTTAAAAAGTGCATTCACAATCCAATATACTCACTTGAATGTTTTTAAAAAGAATACACAAATAGAATTTTTGTTGAAGTTGTCTTTTTCCCCCGGTTTACTCTTCTCACAATGGTAGCATCCATTGGTACAACAAATGTAAGGCTGCTATGCATTACAGGACTACAGACGGCGAGTGAAGAAATTTCGTGGCTTATTTTAATAAAGAATCCAACGACTGGAGAATCCAGCAGTGGGAGAAGAGTCAAGCTCACTTTTTCTTTAGGAAAAAGGAAAAAGGTGAACACCCACAATTTATTACTACCACCACCACCACCACCCACCACCCACTCCCCCACCGAAACAGCACAATATGTCCACAGCAGAATCCTACAATCTCCCCCAACAACGGGCAATAAACACACTGCTGATGGTACAGGGGATGAATCAAGGAATGACCTGCAGAGCATCAATGCCCTTAGCTCAGCACAGCACCATACCCCATCCTTGCCTGCAACTGACGGCCGCATGTTCGGAGTCTCTCTGATTTACTCACTTCAGATATAAACCCTGACTCTCTCATGGGAAAGAGGGTTTGGGCAGTGGCCCCTAAGTGCTCTCTTTATGGACTTTCAACTGATCTTGTTTTCAATTCATACCTGATCTCTGCCTCCAAGATTCCTGGTTATCTCACATTCCCAAGTCTAGCCAAGATTCTGTGAGAATTCATTTACTTCTTTATACCTCCTTAGTAGGCACTTAGGTTTCACTATCTTCTTTCAAAAGCTTCCTCTCTTCCAAAACTTTCTCAACTTCACTCTTCCTAAGTGGTTTCCTCTTTGTTTGTTTTAGTGAAATTTTGGAAAGGAATAGAGAAAACTCCAGGGGTTCTATTTATTACATGTCTTGTTTATTTTTCTTAACAAGAGAAATAAAAGTGAAACCATTCCTAGAACAACATTTGATGAGTAATATTTTAGTTACTTGAAGCTTTCCCTCCTTCTATTCAATTATATGCAGGCACATAAATGTCCTGATGATTATGATTATTATAGATGTCAAGATATAAAAAGCCTATCATTTTCTAAGCCTAGTTAACATGCTTTTGAAATAAAATACAGGAGAGATAAAGTAGAACAGCTATGCAGAATATAATAAAATATCTCAATGACCACATACTATCTCAGTTTTCATTATGTGCTATAATTTTTCCTTTATTTCTTTTTGCAGAATCAGTAAAAAATTTTAGCTACTCTAAGGTAAGTAAATTTCTAATAATAATATCTGCTCTCCATGTTTGTAGTTTGGCTATTTCATTCTTATTTTTCTGAATTCAAATTTCAGGTTAGGTACTAGTATTATTGCAAGCACCATCTATGATGCAATAGCAACTAAATGTAAGGGGCAAACGTCTCCACCAGTCATGTTAATCTAACTCTGGATATGCCCCCAGTCACTGGAGCAATGAGGACAGTATAGTTTGTCATAGAACACATGTTATGCTAATACAT